AAGGATGGTGAAGAACAAAGAATGTTTCTCTTTTTCCAACGCTCAGGTCCCATCAGGGGTCCATCAGTTAATCATTTGGGTGGGCCTTTGGCTCCAAGTCTGGGCCTTCTCTATGGGAAATCCCAGTTGATTCCAATGAGTCCTCACCACCCTTTAAACATTCATCTGTCTTGGGCTAGTAAAGTGCAATACATCATGTACCCTATTCTTTTCCCCCTCCGCTCCTCTGTTAGGCCTGTGGGTAAGGCCCCAATAGAGGCAGAGATCTCTTAGTTATCTGATCAACCCAGGTATCTTTCCATTCTGAGAGAGCTTCCAAAATGTAACTGTAGCCTCTCTCACAAGTACATGGTATCAGTTATGACCTGGAACCAAATATAAAGGTGCAGAGAAAGATAAAGCTATCAGAACACATTATATCTATACATATATAATTCAATTTTGAAACATGGATACAAATACTCATTTACAATATATTTCAACCTTCTGCCTTAAACCCAAGAGAACTTTTTGTGCCGTCCAAAGTGGGCAGAAATGAGGATTTCTGCCTGCTGTCCCTTTAGTGCAAAATCTAGTCCTTTAAATGCTCCCCTTCTCATCAAGGGCTTCACATCTTCAGATATGCTAACATGGGCACTAGCAAACACAGTGGCCAAGACAGCTCCATTTCCAACCATGCAACAATGGAGCTTTAAGAATTTGCTCAGCAACTACTAGAGAAAAAGAAAGCTAGTTCTACTTATAAAATCACTTAGTGAAGGACCTATAAACCCAGTTTTTTCAAAATTATCTTCTACTTTTCTAAGCATTTATATTGTTGGGGGAAAAACCCACAAAACTCTTATAAGTCAGTCAACAACAAAGTCCTTTAGTCTGTCTTTGGATAGTTTACCAAAGAGGCACTAATGCTTTTTCCCTCCCTGCTCTTAAATTTTGGTATCTTAGCAGATACAGTGTAATCTTTGGTTACATAATGTGATGCTTTCATCTCTTTGTCTTTAAAAAAAAAACAAAACTGCTTTCAAAGATTTTCAAAGAGATTAGTGGTGAGAAACAGACCTGCCTATAAAAGGCAGCAGGGGTAGAAATTTCCTTTTACAAGAAAATGCACATGCTAAATGGCTTATTTTGACCCTAAGTTTGGGATTGGATCCTGTGCTTAAGCATTCCTGGTTCCCATGACCCCTTATAGGGGGTTGAGCACAAAGGCCACTCTTTTGGCCCAGTGCCCTCTCACCTGGGCAACTGGCACAAGATAATTAGTAGTCAGCCTCTTCTCTCCCCAGAGCCATGCAAGGATAGTTACAGGGCTGTCTGGAGAGAGTCTCATGAAGTGCAACCCTGGCACAGGGATGGAGTGGGGTAGACGGGAATGGCTTGGGCTTTTGAGCCCTGCAGAATATCAAGAGAGAAAAGAGGGCAAGGCCATGTCTGTGCTGTGGCTAATGAAACAAACACTTAGAAGCTACTTGAAGCTCAAAGTTAGGTCATTTGTGTAGTGTTACTATCATGTGGATGACGAAACTACTTTCTCTTAAAGTGCAAATAGAATACTTCTTGCTATATAGGCCTATATGGATTTAGAAGTAGCGTATGGACAGAGAGGGACTCTAGCATCAGCACATTATTTCCCAACCTGGAATCACCTCAGCAACTATCCAAAGGACAGAGCAAAGCTTTTTTTTCCTTCTTTTTTAGTGCCAATGAACATACATAAAAATATGTGTATTACCGATTTTCTTTTTCAAAGATATATGACAGAATCCTTCAAAAAATTCCATTCTCATTAGAAAAATAATGAACTCTCCAAGAACAATGATACTGTCTGTGGCACAGAAAAGCTATGGAACAAAGAACTCAACCCCTGTCTCAGCTCAGAGGCCAGGCCTGGGAGAGCTGCTCAATGACCAAGAGCTGAAACTGCCACACGACTCTTTTTCTTTGACCACAGAGTCTGCGGCTCTGGCGGCTGTCTGCCGTGTAGCACAGATGGGGCCTTGTCCCTGGTGCTCCTTTGTTTTCTCTTCCTCACTCCATCCCCATCGAGCACCGCAAACTGCTTTGGAGACAGTTACCACGACTTGTCTGGTGAGTGATCCTCATCTTTCAGCTCACCAGGTGAGTGGATCGAGGTAGCCGAGCCTTCACGGGTGAGCCACAGTGTACCAACCACATCAACTGTTTGTACAGCAGAACGCATGCCAAATGAGACTTCTGTCAGTTACACTGGTGAGAACATCAATGACCAAAAGAAAAAAAGAGAATCCCCCTTTTATCTGTGGGAGAACAAAGCCAAGCTAAAATCTCCTTCACTCACTGAAACCCCAGTGCAAAAACACTAGGCCTAGAGCCTTGTTTAGGCCGTTTTTCCCTAGTCTTGCCATTCAGAATTTCAGAGTAGTTTAGTTGTTGCTGTTTTTAATTTACACTGCTGTTTCGCTGATTTTTGGCTTTCACAAATGCAAAACATATATATTCATAAAGACAAGAGTCACAATTGGGAAATCCATAAAGGTGAAAAATGCGGTAGTCAGAGAAATAAAAAGGAGAGCATCTAGTATTTACAAGGAGAGATATTAGAATGATATAATCAAATCCATGTACCATAAAAGAGGAAAATAATTTTAAATCAGATGTAAAGGAGCTATTAAACTATAGCCTAGTATAACTGAAAAGAGTGATGGATTTTTTTTTTCTGTTTAAAACAGCCAGAAGTAATCTCATGAACTTACATAAGCCAAATGATGTCCTAACGAAGAAAACCAGGATTTGTCTATCCTACCCCAGAAAGAGAACCTGTCAGTTTTAGTTTTGTTCAGCAGTCTTGGACTGGTATATCACCCATCTTAGGTTCCCCTGTCCCTTGTTATTTAAAGAAGCTGTTTTGCAAGTTCATTTGGCTATTAATATCAGCACAGAAATCAGGGGAGGAAACCCATGTAGATAATAGCGTGTCACTCAGAAGAGGAAACCCATGTAGATAATAGTGTGTCACTCAGAAACTATCTTCTCAATAAGTAGAGTGAACCAACGGAAATGGGCAGCTTGGTAACTGGCCCCTGATTTCTTGAATTTAGCAGATCAATGTAAGAGCTAAGTGAGGGGGCAGTTGCCAAGATGAGAAAGTAGGCGGGCATTCCCCCTGAACTCAGGATTGGGGGACAAAGTCAGCAAAAGAGAGGTATGCCAAAGGACCATATGAAACCAGTGTCCCAAGAGCACACCCTGAGTTCATGGATGGCAGCCCATTGGAGCCACGCAAACCAGACCTTTCCAAAGGAGGTCATGGTTCTGTAGTATAAATGTTTCAGCCTCCCTCTGGCTGAGAGGCAGCAACAAAGGTGGGGGGTCTGAGTGAGTATGGCCGATGTCAGAGCCCAGAATCAGCAGCAGAGGAGGATGATGAGTAAACCGACCAGATGGTGCCCATCTGGCTTTAGATTTTGCCTTTGAAGACTTTAATTTAGTAGTCAGTCTCCTCTTAGTTTCTTCTCTCTTCTTCCCATGACTTCTGCAGGTGGATATGCTGGGGGGCAAGGACAGCATTTACAGGGTTTCTGGTTCTAGTGCCTTCATTCTTCTCACCCTGGTAATTGAGTTTTCTCTTTAACCCTGACCCGCATAGCCCTGTTAGCTGCTCTGAAGGAAGAAGTAGGTATTTCTTCACTTGGTGGGAAGGTATCATCTCTAGGGGACAAGGGCAAGATGCCCGGCTTGTCCAGTCCCATCGATGCCTTCTTTCCAGTTTGTCTAAGGGCTCCAGAGATCTGATAGTTGATGAACGACGTTTGGTAAGAAGTCTTTGAGCCTACTGGCATCAAGACTGCTGGCTTGCTAGCCTTCTTGGTGGTACCAGCTCTTAGCAGAGAGTCTGTGAACATGCCCAAATAAATGGACAAATCTCACCACCATGGCTGTAATACAGTCTGGTTAAGTACAGGCCCACAAAACACTGAAGGGAGGGTAAGAGGGAGCTTGCAGCCACATGGAGTCAGGCAGAAAACATTGGGGTCTTTTAAAGGTAAGGGCAAAGAGTGATCAAATCTTCAGTGTCCTAAGCAGGAAAACAACCAACCCATCGATTCTTTTTCCTCTGACTCCAGCCCCAGCCTCTTCCCTGACCCACAAATGGGAAAGCAGACCTGGCTCTGGATAGGGCCTTCCAAAGGGTCAGATCTCTCCTTTCTTTCTTACTGGTCTGACTCTTCAGTGGAAGTGGCCAAGTTTTGGCTAAAGAGAACATTCAGTCCAAAGCTCTTAGAAAAGCTTATTGAAAGTCAATTTGAGGGTGGAGACAGAGGGTGAGAGAGAAAAAGGATTGGCTGGAGGGGAGGCGTTCACATGCAGACACGTTTTCAAACAAGAAGCACATTTTCAGTACAATGAATTGCACTGCAGTTAAGCAGTCTAGCCATCAGGGGCCAAGGCTGTGGGCAGATACTGGTGATCCATCTGTCCTCTTTGTCCTCTCTTAATTCTGTCTCCCCCCTCCTAACTCATCTCTGCAGTCATCCTGCCCTCTAATGGCAATAGCCATTGGCAGAAAATAAAGTCTCCCAGGGAGGCTGAACTTGGGAAAAAAAAAAAAAGCAGTGACTCCCCATGGGCTTGCAATTTTCACCTTATTCTAGTCACTGTTGGCCTCGTTGGGGGAATTCTGTTTGTTTTTCTATTTTTTTAAGAGGAAAAAACCCTACAGGATTTTTGGTTTTAGGGGGGTTGTTTGTTTTGTTTTTGTTTTTCCAGATACTCAGCTCTCTAAACTTCCCGTGGCATTAGGTGAGTAAACGTTTGTGTGGCTGGCACACAGTGCAGTGCTATAAACAAGCACAACTTGACACTGGGCCACATGAGGATCATCACAGATTTAAAGAAATACAACACCATTCAAAATACAGATAAGAGCCATGGCAGGGAGCAGAGTCTGAAAGTGCCATGGGAGGGTCAGATAGGAAGGGAAAAAAGAGAAAGGAGGAAAAGGGGGGGAGGTGCAGCAAATAGAACTCAGGAACATCTTCATGACAGACTGTACATCAAAAGAGGAAATTCCCCAAGGCACTGCAGAGAAGTAGTAGAGAGTTATAACAGGCAGAAGATATCTGAAAAGGGGAGTGGAGTGGGGTGAGAAAATGGGGGCTTCCAAAGCTTCACTGCGTGTGGAAATAGATGGGCTTGACTTTCCCAGAAAGAATCTTGGGCACTTGCACAGAGATGATTTCTGCCATCATTTCTGGAAAGTCCACGCTCACCATGTGGGACTTGATTAGCAGGTCAAAAGTGAACTGATGTAGCTCTCGCGCAATCTGTAGGGGGAGCAATGAGAGGGAGAAAACAGGCTTGACCAGGAGTTGGCTTCCGTCAGGCTCTTACCCCCACCTTTGATTTCTTCCACCTTCCCTGCCCTTGGTCCTCCCTGTGGATGTGTGTATGTTCACACATATGTACACTAAATGGTCTCCAGGGAGTTACTGAGGGCTCCCAAGAGATCTCTTACACCATTGCAAGCTCTCTGACTCAGGACCTTGTGTTCCTCTTCCCCAGCACATGCACGCGAATGCACACACACCCCCAACATATACACACACACATTCTCTTCCTGCCTCTTACACACACACACACACACACACACACACACAGACATGATTGAAGGGAGAGGGGAAAAACATTCAGGCCTGTTTTGTCTGCCTGGAGAACTTATCTGCTCTAAGCCCTTTCCCTGAGTCCCAACTGCTCTGTTCTCAACTCCTCCACCTCTTTCACAGCATCCAGGGGCAATGTGACCTGTGTTTCTTTCTTCTCCATTGCATTTTTTTCCTGGACCACACTCAAAGCCAGAGGAGAATGGAAGCACCTCCCAACAGGTGGTGCCTGATCCTAGAGGAGCATATGATCACTTAGCTCTATCAAGTTGCTTCTCCCTGATGAAGCACCCTCCATCATTTGCTTACAGGTTGCACAGAGTCCAGGAGCTTGGTGAGCTGGTAGAAGCGCCTCGAGCAGGATGTGGGATTTTTTCTCTTGCAAGCAATGATACGATCAAGTTCCTTGATGTAGTTCATTCGAAGTTCATCAAAGAATTTTTGATTTTTCAGCCCATCCACTGGAACTGATGTGGGATGAAGAGAGAATGGGGAGGGGAAGCATGCCCACAAAGGAGCATTAGACAAAGCACCAAGTTTTCTGACCACAAACTTGACCCCCACCCCCACAGGGAGGGAACCATCTACTTGGTTTCCTGTCAGTTGAAGTCTGTATGCCTGGGTCCTTCAGTCTGCCAGGAAGTTCTAGACAGAAGGCTAGCTGGACCCAATCCGAAGGGCATCGAGTAAACCAAATTTACTGAGCCTTTCCTTTTTCTAGTCTTCTCATCTGCACATTTCTTAGAACCTGTGGTTTTATGTTGTCACAGTCCAGCTCTGATTTAGACAATTAAAATATATAGCTTCGAATATCAAATTTGACCTCCTTTTTCCCTCACGGGGGCTAAGATAACATTCTGCTTAGAAGAGACATTAAAGAAAGATTACTTGGCCGCCTAATAAACCCTATCTGAGTTGCTCACACATACCTCCTATTATTGGCAGAAGAGGAAATTCCTTCCAGAGGCAATTCCTTCTGCTCTGCAATAAATATAAGGTGGTCTTTGCCTGTTTCTACGGTAGAAGCTATGGAAAAATTCAGAGACCTGCTATAGCCAGCTCCAAAAGCCTTGTCCAAAGAGAGACTGGAGGTAGCTGGGGATCTAACAGAGGTTGAGTTCTAGCAAAGAAAATAGTCTGAGCCATGAAATTCATACCTGGTAGAAAAAGAGGATGCTAAAGAGAGAGTGGAGGAGGGAGGGTGAACGAAGAAGGGAAATGCCTAGGGGTTGGCTTCTCGCTGATAAATCTTTAATGGAAAAAGTAGCTCCCCTCTGAGCCCCTATTGACCCCAGGGGCATTTTTGTCTTTCCAGGCACTTACTAATGCTGAATAGCAGCAGTGCCTTCATGCACAAAAATTCTTGGGGGGTGATCTGGAGCCATCCAAATTCTTGAGAGAGGTGCCTCATTCGGACACACTGGCTGTACATCCGGGACTTGTGCATGCGGTACCTGCAGAGGAGACAGACGGAGAAAGGAAAGGAGTAAGGGAAGGCTTAAAAATAAGCTCAGAGAGAATGTCTTTGGTTGTCCTCCCCTCCCCAGGTTCTCTAAGAAGAGCTCATTGTTTCTCTTGCTGGTGCTTCATTGACAAGGAACAAGGCTGTTCTTTTTTTTTTTTTCCCCAAATCCTGACATCCTGGTAACTACTCATCTTCCCTGGTCAGGATACGGGTTAGCACATGGAATTTCCAGGTCCCCGTGCCCCTCCTGTTTCCTGAGACAGAGACGGGAAAGCCTAACCAAATCAACACAATGGGCCAGGCACATGGTCTCCCTGACTACAGTTCTAATATCCCAGCTACAGCCAGAGCCAGAACCTGCCTCCCAGGCATCCCAACACGGAGTCTTTCTAGGAGATAAACTTTAGAAATCAACTCCTAACATAAAGACACCAGGATTTCCAAGGGACCACAGTAATTTATCCTGTCAATTCCCCTGTCTCTTGGCATAAATGCCATTTCTTTTGCTAGAAATTTTGTCACTTAAAAAAAAAAATCTAGGGAAGAAGATTCCCCACTGTCCCTTCACAAAGTGAGTTAATCAGCCAGGAAGTGTTTCCAAATGTCCAATCTAAATGTACCTTGAAGGGGAGCCTACTCCCTCATATAATGGTGGTTCCTTATCACAGTTCAGGAGTTGTAAACACATGTGAGCTGTTTTTACTATAGTGACTTGTCAACAGATCATCACATTATCGCCTATAAATTATATAGGGAAGTGGCCAAGGCTTGAACAGTTTCTAAGGGGTGAACAACCTCTCTGTTTTATGAGTGGCCATGGCAAGCACCAGCCTCTAGGAAGATGCACCATCTTCCTGCTAGTTGGTTTTCCTGGTTTTCAGTACTTCAGAAATCGTGTGTGTGTGTGTGTGTGTGTGTGTGTGTGTGTGTGTGTGTGTGTGTGTGTGAGAGAGAGAGAGAGAGAGAGAGAGAAACTCATTTTGTATCTTGTGGAGAAAGGAAAGAGAATTTAACACCCACTTAAGTGGTGAGGAAAAAGACCAAGATTAGGCTTGATGGTTGTGGTTTGATGTTTTGGTCCCCAAACCACTAGCCTTGTCCATGGGCTAAGCAAGCCTGGTACTGGTTGGGTGGAAGGCCAGCACCCTATCTCAGAGAGATCTTGGCTGCCCTGGAGAAAAAGGGAAGGGGGGCAGATGGTATGTTCAATTCAGGCTGGAGACCAGCTAGAAAGAAGAAGTATTTAGACAGTATCACAAGTCAACTGACCAAAGCAGTGTTGCTCCAAGGTCTTTCACCCTAGAGAATTTTTGAGTAAGATCTGCTGACCCTTGGACGTGATCTGGCTCCAGGCTCTACTGTACTTCCAAGCCTCTGCTGATGATAACACTGCAGTCTTTTTACCATTTGAAATCATGGTCCTGATGTGGAGGATTGATGTAACATTGCTGCAAGTCCCAGGGACAGAGAAATGTGGGGAAAAGAAAGAAGAAAAAGGGAAAGGCAAGGGAAGGAATTCAGAGGGGAAGGGAACAAGAAGGAGAAAGGACAAAAAGAGTAGGGAGAGAGTTAATGGGAAGGAAAGGGAGAAGAGAGTGGAAGGCAGAAGACAAGGGGCAGGAATGGAATTCAGAAAGAGAGCAGAGATAGGTGAGAATAAGAGAGAGTGGTAACAGAAGAGATGAAAATTGGAAAACACTGAGCACAGTGCTTGGCACATAGTAAGTGTTCAATAAATGACATGTAGGAAGGTGCCATTCTAACACTATTCACCATTCTACAGATGAGAAGACTGAGGTTCAGAGGAGTTAGGTAATTTAGTCAAGGTTACACAGCTGGGGTCCAAGCCCATTACCCTCACAACATGTGTTCTCCACAAAGAGGGGAGGAGGAGAGAAGAAAGCAGGGCTGATGACAGGACTTGGTGTCAGAGAGATCAGGAAATGGGTTGGCTCATAGTCCATCTCTCTCTCTTTTTGGGCTTCACTCTCCATATTAGTATCTTGAGGAGGCTGGCAACAATTAGTGGCTGGTACTGGAGTGAACTACTTTCCTAGTGGATGCTAGATATATGTGGGGGAAGTGTGGCCTGATACAGTGACAGAGATCCTACTGGTATTTAGTGGGCTGGTGCCAGACATGTTAAACATAAACATATTCCAATATGCAAGAATATCCTGCACAATGCAAAATTATTCCTCTGACAATGTCACCAGCATCCCTGTTGAGAAACATTGGTTTAGATGTTTCTAGGGACTGTAAGAGCTCTAACATGGTGGTTCCCACAAGAGGAAGGGGGGCACTGTTGTTTCAGGAGCGCTGGGGCTTGATGGGTCTAGGACCCTGCCTGTGCTGGGAGTCCCATTGTGCCTTCTGAAGAGCTACATGGGAGTGGGCCAGAAAGCTGAGAAGGAGTGCCTCATAACTTCCACGGAGGCAGAAAAGGGAATGAGGATTTAGAAAACACCAATTATCATCTTGAAAAGATTCAAGGGTCCTAGGGCTCTGGATAGGGAGAGTGGTGCAGGTGCCCAGGGTGTTAATTCAATCACTGGAGGTCAGCAGGAAAGTAAGGGTGAGAGATACACAGGAAGAGGGCTTTTAAAGGCCTGTCCCAGAAGATGGCATCATAAGTAACTCTTTGGAGAACTGGAAACCATAACGCAGGTTGTGCCAAAAGCCCAATGGTTATTCTTAGCTCCTCGCTACCAGGGTTAGCTGGGTTGGAAGAGGGCAGCTGGGGATACTCATTTTCCCCCATATGGCCTTGCTGTACTGGAAGGAACCAGTAGCCTGTACATTTTATTTTAAGGCTCTTCTGGGTTAGAGGGCTGGAGGGGAAGGAAGGTCAACTCCTGCCCTAACCAAAAGGATTCTCTGTGGTGAGACTAGCTCAAGGTCCTTGGGGAGATTTTTTTGGCCAGCTCCAGTCACATGCTATCGGGGGACCTCGAACAACAGACAGAGAGAAGATTATCACTATTAGGGAAAGAGGATCAGAAAGATCCTTCTTTTTTATTTCTTGCCTATCATGGGCCAGGCATTTCACATCCATTAGCTCCCATTTTAGTCATCATAACAAACCATTTAAGAAAGTTATATTTTATTAACAGACAGGGAAATTGAAGGTCACAGAAGTCAAGTCTTGCCCAAAACAGTGATTCAGGAATTATAGAACAGAGATTTTAGTTGAGATAAGTGTAATTCCAAAGTCTGAGCCCTTGGCCAAATTCATGAAGGACAAATAGAGCTGGTGGGCAGGACAAGGATTAATTAAATCTGTTTTTAGTTTTTATTTTTATCATTTTTAAAATTTTTTATTTTATTTAAATGCAGTTAATTAACATATGGTGTAGTATTAGTTTCAAAGGTAGAGTTCAGTGATTCATCAGTTGCATAGAACACCCAGTGCTCATTCCATCATGTGCCCTCCTTAATGCCCATCACCCAGTTACCCCCATGCCCTACCCCACTTTCCTCTAGCAACCCTCAGTTTGTTCCCGTAGTTAAGAGTCTCTTATGGTTTGTCTTCCTCTCTGATTTTGTCTTATTTTATTTTTCCCTCCCTTCCCCATGATCCTCTGTTTTGTTTATTGAATTCCACGCATGAGTGAAATTATATGATAATTGTCTTTCTCTAATTGACTTATTTTGGTTAGCATAATACCTTTTAGTTCCATCCATGCACTACTTGCAAATGGTAAGATTTCATTCTTTTTGATGGCTGAGGAATATTCCATTACACACACACACACACACACCACATCTTCTTTATCCATTCATCTGTCAATAGACATACGGGCTATTTCTTTTAAGATGTATTATTTTTTTGAGAGAGAGACAGAGAGCACAAGTGGGGGGAGGGGCAGAGGGAGAGGGGAAGCAGACTCCTTGCTGAGCGTGGAGCCCGATGTGGGGCTGGCTAGGTCTCATGACCCTGAGATCATGACCTGAGCCAAAACCAAGAGTTGGACGCTTAACCAACTGAGCCACTCAGGCGCCACTTAAACCTGTTTTTAAAGAGAAGGGAAGTGGCTGGGCCAACGTCACATGGCCAGAGAGTGGTAGAACTGCTCCTCCCTGTCATTTACCACCATGAGGCAGTATAAGAGCTGAGAGTTATACAGACATACTTTGAATTCTGTCACCATCATGCCTTGGGTGAGCCACTTTATTTTGTTGAGCCTAATTTTACCCATCCATTAAAAAATATTATCTATAAAAAGGGGAAATCTCATTATCCTGAGGGCTCAATGAGAAAGGATTTAGGAAGTATCCAGTATAGTCCTGGCACAGCAGAGCTGCTCAACAAATGGTGACTGCAAGTAGCCCTCAGTGGTAGCAAGGGGACCACAGGAACTTCAGCTTTCACAGCTAGTCTTTTTGCCCATTACCTGTGTTGCTCGGAGTGAAGGAGAGGGACCTTGACATGAAGTTGAGATAATCTACAGGACAGGTCAGAAACATGGCCAAAATACTAGGTCTCGGGTGGGAAAGGAATGGCTCTGCACCAACCACACACATACCCCAACCCTGCCACCACCACCATTGCTTTCCACCAGGTGGCCTTTCGGCAGGGCAAAGGCACCTCAGATTGGGGAGGCTGGCTAGAGCCTCTACTACCTCACCTACAGGTCAAATGGGCTACCCCCTCCCCCACTGTTACTCCCATTATCAGCATCACCGCTGACCAAGTCTGGCCAGGATGTTATGTTTATGTGAGTTCTGGGCCCACGGAGACTTACTCATTGAAAACCAGGTCAGGGGCGAAGTAGAGCATCCTGGAGTTGACATTGGTGAAGGACCGCCAGCCCATGGCAAACACCATAAGTCCCATCCAGGAGTACTGAATGACTGCCATCTGGTCATCCACGTGCAAGTTGCGGAAGCCTGAAGATGGGGCAGAGGGAGTGGTCAGACTGAGCGTTGATGGGCTGAATGAAGTCCCAGCCCTCTACTGGGCCAAGAACCTCTGGCACTCAGGCAGCTCCTGAGGAGCCCCAGGGACCATTAATGCTGAGGAGCAGGGGAAGAACAAACTATATGGTGGGGATAATATTCCTTGCTCTCCCTACTTCACTAAGCTACTCAAATGAGATGATGATGGAGGCCAAAAATGGTACTGTCATTTGGAAGAGAATAATAATCTAACACTGGCTGCTTACAATGGATGAACTCTTGTATGTTACTTACATTAACTCATTTAATCTTCACAGCAATCCAATAAAGTAGGTACTACTAGTAAGCCCATTCCGTGAATTAGTAAAAGTGAATGACAGAAAGGTTAAAAACTTGTCCAAGATCATAAGGCTAGTAATTGGCAGACCACATTCCAAAGCCAAGCAGCCTGACTCCAAAGCCTGTGCTCTTGCTTACTCTGCTTTTCTGAAGATGCAGTGTAATAATCACTTCTCCTGTGTGAACAGCACTTTTCACTTTACAAAGATCTTTTCTAGCTATAATCTTAATTGTCCCTTCTAACAATCCTGGGCAATGGATATTATTACATATCAGCATACATTGGAATGCCTTTGATAGCCACTGCCTTCTCTACACCACCTTCAGGCTCCCTCTCTTTTCTCTGATCCTCTTTTGGACTCTCACTTCCTATCCATTATTTTCTACTCAGCAAGTAACCTGGCTCTGCTAGTTTCCTACTCTGCCATTCCTGCCTTATTGCCATTATTCTACACCAACAAGGGCTTTATGGCCTGCCTCCTTAGACTAATTTCTTGCTACTTCTCATAATTTAGGTTCCAGTTATTCTGAAATTTTAGTTTGCTGAACACACCATACTTTCTTATGCCTCTGCATCTCTGCTACCTCTGCACAGGCAGTTGCCTTTGCCTAGAATGCATTCCTCCCTCCCCAGGCTTTCCTTCTGATAATACCTACTCATCTTTCAAGTCTTCACTGAAAAGCTACTTCCTCTGTGAAGGCTTTTCCAACTCATCTAAGCAGAAGACTTAATGATTCTTCTTTTACCTTCTTACTGAATTTTGTGTAGCCCTACAAATTACAGCACTCATTACACAGTACTGGAATTTACTTACATACCCTTACGTACACTTATGTACACATCTGTCTCCTCCACAAGACTTGTCGATTCCTGAAGACAGGAACCATCCCTTCTTTCATCTTTTCCTCCCTAGTACATAGCACAGTTCAGATATTTGAGTACACACCTTTGAAATAGTAATTTATTATATGTATTAATTTGATAGTAATTAAATGGAATAAGGATCCCCATTTTTTTTCATTTTACAAATGGGAATTAGATGATCTCCAAATTATCTCCCTTAGTCTGAGAGAATGGAGGCTCCCCCTACTTCCACAATACCACACAGGTAGAACAGGTGTAGCTATATTCTTCTGGAAGTTTTGAGACAGTTGGATGTTTAGAGAATCACCTCAGAGCTCATCTCCTACCAGTACTCTATTTCTCTTTTCCCCAAAAGATCCAGAATTATCTGTTTGTTTTGCTATACCTCATTAGGAATGCTTCCATGAATTTAGATAAAGCTTCTAGCTTTCCTGTGGATCACCTAATTTAAGTCTCACAATAACCCTAGAGGGTAGACAATGTGACACTCATTTTGCCAACAAAGAATCCGAGGGCCAGACAAGTTAACTGACTTCCCCAAGGTCGTACAGTCTTTATGTGGCTGAACTGGGACTAGAACTTAGGTGTTCTAATTCTCTACTTCAGTGCTTTTTTCCACTCTACTGCTGAAGGACACAGCCCAAGAACTATCAAGCATGAGTGTTTCTTAGCCATAGGCCCAGGTCTGAAGTCTACACTGTCTAGACACATTGTTCTGCTTGGTTGGTCCTTGCCCACACAAAAACCCCATTTCACTTTTCTTTTCTTTTAGGTCCCAAGCATACCAGACATCAGGGACTGTAAAGTCCCCATATCACCACCTCTGCAGCTCAATGGACTGGCTGCAATCTTAGCTCCCAGGCCTGTGCCTCCCATCTCACTGTAGTGATATGCTGACAGACTAGCTCAAGTCTCAGACCCCAGAATATTTCCTGCCAGAAGTCATTCTGTAGCACAGAACTCCTGGTACTGACTCTTCCTAGTAGGACACAAAAAGCAGGGACCAAGCATGGAACACCTCTTGGGGAAAGGGCCTGGGAGCTTGAACCCTGAACCTCTGCAGTGGAAGCAAGGAAAGACTTGGCTGCTTAGTTTGTGAATATGAGGGTGCCGGCGGGGGGGAATGAGGATTAAACTATACAAGTACCAAGGAAGCCATCAATACTGATGCTTTTTTCCTTCCTCGAGATGCCAGAGAACTAACAAAGAGAAAAAAGGGAAAGCTTAGTTTGGCTGTAGTACTAATTGTAATAATACTAATGGTCCTTAGTGAGACTTGCTCAATCCTAATTACTGTGTCCACATCAACAGCATAGCAGGCTAATTTTCCTATAGGTCTAATATGATCACAATACCTAACTCTGTTTTTTAATGCCCAGCCTTTGAAGTTGCCTGTTCAGCTAGCATGACTATTAAGTAAGGGATGACTTGAGGAAACAGTAGCTCCAGCCTACAGGTTTCCTTCAGCACACCTTCACTTAACACCTATTTGCTACTGTGTTAGGCTACTCTGGAGAAATAGAGAGGAGTCATTGTCAGGTTCTGAAACACACCAAACAGGTTAGGGAGCAGAGAAAGTTTCACTGAAATTCTGTTTTCTCAATAAAATTCAGTCAATTATAATTTCTTAGCAATCTGCAGTGGAAACCTGTAGTCCCCTATCTAGTTTGGGAGGACGTGTCCAAAGAAAGCCAGCTGGGAAATATTTAGTCCTGTAGTGCATCTGACACCTAAGGTCTTCACATACGATAAAGCATCCTTGGGACCCAGGCATGAGCTTCTAGGCAAGGCTGGTGGCAGCTTAAATTGATTTTAGTGAAAGCAGTGGCTTGGCATTCCCGCTTCATGATAATGACCCATCATTTACACAGCATCTACTATGGTTTCAGCTACTGTGCTAGGTCCTCTTTTGACATGATCTCAATGCTACTAACAATTAGCAAGTCAGTGATTATTCTACCCCCTGTACAAATGAGAAACCAGAAGCACATGCAAACATGTGATTTGCTCAAGATCACACAGCTAGTGTTTGGCTAAGATTCCAAACCAGGAGCATCTGATGATAAATGTACTTGTATACAATCTACTCACCCACCCTCAATTGATAGTTGTTATTTATTAATGTCCAGGTACTATACTAGGTGATTTACATATGTCAGCTCCATCACAGAAAACATATAACAAAATTTATTGGAGTAGATGCCTAGCACAGTGGCTCACACAGGACAGGAACTCAGTCTGTTGAAGGAGCAAATAACTTGAACTAGCAGGTAATTATCGATGATATGAATAACAGTTCTTATGAGTGTGGCAACTGGCTTTCTTTTGAAGCTGCCACTTTAAATGACTCAGGGTTGGAAATCATCTCCTTGGATGAGCTAGATGGTGAACTGATACTGACTTGCAGACTTGTTAACGTAAAGAGAGGGTTTCCCATTCTGGAGGGTGAGCTGAGCAAAGCCAGTGACTGCCGGTCATAGAAATTCTGCCATAATGATTTGTACTAGGTTATTGTTAAGACCACCAAATTAGAAATCAGACAATGTAGGCCCAAATTCTGGCTCCATTTGTTAAGTGACCAAATGGAACAAGTTAGTTAACCTCTCTGAGCCTTGTAATTTGAAATGGAAGTAATCACTCCTCTGATTAACAGGACTGCTGTGAGGATTAAGTGGAATCACATCTTTGAAAAGGTTCTCTATCCCATAAAATAGGATAATTTAAGTGGTTGGCAACAGCTAGGAAAGATTAAGCTGATTCTCTGTTATACATATGACATCAAGACATCCAGCCGAATAAGTAATAAGAATTCAAACAACTTTCTCTTTTATTCTTTTTTGTAATTTTTTTCCCTTTGTGAACCCTCTGTTTTGTCACAGTGCATACACAACCAGAGTCCTCAGGCCTTCTTCCCAGTGATCTTATTGGCTAGTCGACCTCAGCTTCTCAAACGAGGAAGGTGTTAGGATGGTCTGGTGGCTATGACTGGGCCTTGTGAGTTAGAAAGACAAAACAGAGGCTTGATAGCCAACATACAATGTATTCGAAGGCAACAAGATCATATTATGACCCAAGTGGGCTTGGATGAGGTTTTGGCCCCTCACTGTAAATCCCAGGGCTCCAGAACTACAGGGGTACCACACAGACACATCCCACAGTAGAGTGGGATGAGGAGGGGATTTGGAATCAGGAGGGGACCTGGGCTCAAGTTCCGGCCCTGCTACTTTCAGACTGTGTAACTGTAGGCCAAGCACCTGACTTCTTAGAGCTTTAGTGGCTTTATCTGTTAAATAGGAAAAAGAATCCCTCCTTTATAGGACTGTTAGGAAGATGAAATCAGGTAATACAAAGGAAACTGCTCTGTTCACTATAAATTTCCTTCTGAATGGCAGTTATTCTTAGAAGGCAGGTTAATCTTTGACTCCATAACAGGTTTAGGTTGTTGATGTTTCAAAAGAATCTTTGAGTCATAGAACTTTAGGATTAAGACAACCCTTAAAGAGTTTATGCTTCACTTGTTTCCAAACTGTGTTCCTTGGAGCCCTAAGATTCTGCAAGAGTGACCCGATGCTTCTCTCAGGGTGGTGAGGGAGAGGCACTGGCTTTAAATCAACCAGCTCCACTTGGATCTGTATACAATGCTTTTAAGAAGTAAAGAGTAGGGCTGATAAAGGAAAGGTTGGGAATCCTTGGGTAGAGGAGCTCTGAGGCTTCTTCAACCTCTAATATATTAATAATCAGACTCGTTCAAACATCAGATGGCCTATGGAGAGAGTGAGTTCCCCATCACTAGTGGTAACCAAGCAGAAGTTAGACAAACACTTTGTATTTCTTTCATTATCACCTAATATTACCTCCTACTATAATTCCTAAGGCAGTTTAAAGAACACTAAGAGTTCCTTGAAGCACAATTTGACAACCATCCATTTAGTCCAAACTACTCCTCACACAGCATAGATGAAGAAACTGAGACCCAGAAAGGGAAGGGATCACACAACGAGTTACCAGCAGAGCTAAGACTAGAACCTAAGTGTTCTGACGCCCAACCTTTTCTTTCTACCATACTGTATTATAAGAGTTCCCATGGTTTGCCTCCTGCGGGTAATACTGAAGAGAGAATATCAGTCAGGCTCAAGACAATCTCTGCAGGTAAGCTGGTGTGTGCACATGTACAAGAGTATCTTAAGGCATATAAGCGTATGTCCATGTGATCTGTGATTATGGGGAAATTTGCTGACTATGTCTATAGGTTGAACATGCAAACATGACCGCTGTGTGCTGATGTGAGGAACATGGGTACTCTATAATGCTGCTCTTCTCCTTGATTTAGGAGTTTCCTTATTTTTCAAGTGGGAATTATACCAATCTCTCCCCTCCGTAGAGCTATGATGAGGACTGCATGAGTTAAGACATGGTGCTGGCCCACAGGAGCAATTCACTAAATATGATCTCCCTTATCCCATGCCCCCTCTTCCCATTTCCTTACCAGGCAAGGCCTTGGCCCACTTGACCACATGTACAAGCTGTCTTTCGCCCAATTCATTAAGGCTAGAGAGCAAGGCGGCAAAGGAGTCAGGCTGGTTGTTGTCATGTCCAGCACACACCACGCCTGGCTCGATGGCTTCAAGGACATTCAGAAAGATGGGCTGACACTCATAGCCTTCAATGTGTGACACCGTCAGCTTCTGGGTTGGCTCCTCAGTGGGGCTGGTGGCATTGGAAGCCTCCCCTTCCTCTTGTAGTTTCAGATTACCAAGTTTCTTCAGCTTCCGGGCTATAGGGAAGGAAAGGAAAACTTGGATTTATTATCGACGGCCAAACACACAACTCAGCTACCATGTTAGAAAAGTTGCCTAAGCCAAGAAAATAGGGATATTCATTCTCCCTGGTCACAGAATCTAAACTCCTTAAGGACAAGTGCTCAGTTTAAACACTGGTTGAATGAATGAGTTATCATTTCAAATCCCTACTAAACCCATACTTTCATATCTTGCTTTCTCCTCAATCCCACTCTGGATTCAATAAATGGGAATTTTCTGGTGTTACAGCATTTTCTACTGAACACCACACAGCCTCAGATATTGTCAGACATTATGCCCGTAGTTGAACATACACTGTAACACACACAGTGAGTTTTTTTCTTTAGCAAAGGGCAGATTGAGAAGCTAAAGGGCTGAAATCCCCAATATTATTGAAGGAGTAACAGAATATCCCTGACTCTGTCTGTGAAATGGACCCATCCTGAGAGGCAGCCATTAGAAAGGATGATAGAAATAGCTTCTTTTAAAACAACAATAATCCCAAACTTGAACCTTAAGAACCATCCTCTTCCCCCCTCTCCCCCCCCCTTGCACACACACAATTTAGAGGTACTTGGGCATCCTGATGTTTACTAGTGTTCATATTGGCAGAAATAGAAATAACTGGGGAGGTCATAACTTTGAGGCCTAGCAAAGGCAGTTGCACCGGGGAGAACCCTAAACCACTTTATCTCTAATCCCTCTAAAATAATAGTAAATAAAAAATAAAACAAAGAGATAAGTTGATTGCTCAGTTTAAATGGATAAATGCAACAAAACCTGTCACTGATATGTTTCTGGATCCTATAGAAAAAGATACTTCTCTGGAACTGACTTTCAGCTCTAATTAGAAAAATAAGTCCTGCAAACTCCAGTCATAGTGCAACTCAGTAAGTCAATGCAAGAATGGATCACATGTTTAGATCAACAACCAGGAGAGAGAAGGAGAAAATGGTGGGGTTGGTGGTGTAAGAGAAGCACAGAGTACTCAGAGTACTCCGGAAAATCAGCCCAGAGTGCAAGATGACATTGTCCAGCAGCCATTGCTGCAGGGCTTGGATAGTCAGTAATAAGGAGATATGCACACACATAGTCAACTCCCACCTCCCACCTTCCACCAAGGGCATAGGATGGAAGGTATGGGCCCATCTTCTCCCAGATTTTAGAGGCCTGGCCTCCAAAATGTCTTGGCATCTGGTGAACCCATGGCTGACATGGGTTCTTGTAGGCAGCTCCAGATTGGCTGTGCCTACTGGGTCTGTTCCTCTGGTACAGTTTCTAGAGGGAGACCCCATCTTTCTCATCACTAGCAGTTTCTGGCCTTGAGCTCAGGAGCTGACAGACCACGTAGTCCCCCATTCCAACCTGAAAGAGGACAGAGATGTAATTAGCCCTCTGCCTAAGGGCTAAGTAAGAAAAATGAGGGTGACTATTTTTTTCAGGTCCTTCTAGTGCCTCAGTCTATGAACACATTACATCATTTAACTCCACAATGATTTTAGGAGATTAGGAATATTTCCTATCCCTGTTTTACAAGTGAATAAACTTAGGAAACACAGCTATCAAAGAAAGAGAACCCTGGGGCGCCTGGGTGGCTCAGTCAGTTAAATATCTATCTGCCTTCAGCTCAGGTCACGATCCCAGGGTCCTGGGATCGAGCCCCACTTTTACTTCTCTCTCTGCTGGCCGCTCCCCCTGCTTGTGTTTTCTCTCGCTCTCTGTCAATAAATAGAATCTTTTAAAAAAAAATAAAGAAAGAGAACCCAATAATCTGAACCTGCTCTGCTGACTACAAAGGCCATGTTCTTTCTACTATATATATCATGCTGCCTCCTCAAGGTCTCTGAAGCTCTGAACCCCACTTCTAGCCAAACAGCCGAGTTGAGGAGTGGGGCTGGGGTTATATCCTCCCGGATCTCCATCCTCACCCTTGACTCCAAACTTCAGTAACTAGCATCAAATCCAGAAGAGGCAGGAAACTATGAAAATACTCTAGTCACGCGCCCAAAGTAGAAGCAGGCTTGGAGTACTGTAGTGGCCTAAAGATTCACAGCATGACAAAGTAGGAAGGGCCTTTAGAAATCATCTCATCCAAGGGCCACAGATTCAATATACCTTCAGAGTCTACATAGGTAATTCAGTGGCGCGTGCGCGTGCATGCGCGTGCGCGTGCATGCGTGTGTAGGGGGATGGGAGGAACTCTGGTGAACTGGAGTAAACGACTACTGGCCGTCCTGCCCTTGCCATGCGCATGCATGTGTACACCCACATACACACAACCCTAGAAGGCATTCATGTAATATTTAAAAAATTTTCCTGGAACTCATCTGTATTCCAAAGTTAAAATCAGTCCTTAGCTACCATTCTGGGACTTCTGACCTTAATCCAACCTTTCGAGTCAAAGCTGGGGAGGCTGAAGCCAGAACAAGTAAGGTCACCTAGTGGTAGAGCTAAGACTAAAACCAGGGCTTTTATTCCTAATCCAGAGTTCCCTGTGCCACATCAGCTCTCTTTTTGACTAACCTGTTTCTACTCTATCACAGCACTTACCTCTCTGAGCTCCTTCTAGGTATGCACTGTCCAACATAGTAGCGGCTAGCCACATGTGGCTACTTAAATTGAAATTAATTAAAATTAAAGAAAATGAAAATAGAATTCCTTAGTCTCACTAGCCACATTTCAAGTGCTCAACAATACAGACATAGAACATTTCCATCATCTCAGAAAGTTCTATGGAATAATGCTGTGAACCTAGACTGTTCTCTGGGGCAGCTGTCTCATTTGTCATGCCCTACTCATGCTATTGATAAAGAAGAAAAGAATCTAAATAAATTTTATACAGATGAATCCTTGGGCTTTTCTCAAAGGTACAGGGACAAAGCAATTGGTGCTGGTGCAATCAGTGAAGTACACTCTGTCACCTCAACTCTCCCACCAATGACTCAGATCTCAGTGGGGTGATGACTCGTGGACCTAAGCAAGATCAATATGTGCAGAGACTGGGGAGAGTCCATCAACATGAAATAATTCCCCTCTTCTGCACATCCTCCTCCTCTAGACTTATATGGTATCTGCTTGAGGAAAAGAAGCTGCATTCCCACTTGCGTCTAGGACCTGGGTAATGTGCTGTCCCTGCAGCCATAGTGGCCCAAGCTGCACCAGGTGTTCTGGCCTCTCTGCCTGAAGAGGGTGACTGTACTGGACGTAATTGAAATCAGATTCCATTCATTCTGCCAGGGGATCCTCTGTTCTCTTTCTGCAGCAGAGGCCAGCGTGTTGCTAGACGACTTGGAATGCTGGACAATGAGGCTTGCTAGTCTCAGCTGTTACTCAATGCCCAAGGCCTTGTTTTCTTCCATGAAGGCCACCCCCACAGCCCTCCTTCCTCCTGCACCTGAGCCCCAGAGTCAGCTCTAACTCTTTCATGTGAGATACAGGCCTGCCAGCCCCCGGTATAGGAGAGACCCATTGGTTTACTTGCATTGAGAAGCCAGGAGAAAAGGGACAGTAAAGGTGGATAATCTAACAGTGTTTGAGTTGCTTTGCATCTCTTCCCCACCTTTCAGTCTCAGATCAGTGACAACAAAAGGCCACTGGCAAGTTACTTCCTTGTCCCTACCAGCTCTTTAAGGGATTGGAGCACCTGACATGATGTCTGGATCCTGCTGCCTGGATCCTTTGGAGAACCACTTTTGAGCCTGGTGGCATTAGACCCCTGTGAGGGCTCTCTATAGCGCCAGAGACAGATTTTTCAATTCAGTTTCCATGGTCCATCCCCAAGGACCACTGTGACCTTTAGGTACTGTTCCAGCCTCATTCCTTGCCACCTCAAGATAGAGGCCTTCTCATCCCTGAGCAGGGAAGAGGCAGGTGAGGTGAAGTTCCACAGGTTTTTAGAAAACTTGAATCCCTCTCCCTAAGGTCAAGGATATTTCTCTTCTCCATAAAATTTGGAGCACAAAAGAATCACTTTCTGTTGTAGGTGGACTTCTGAGATGGCACCCAAGAGCCCTAATCCCTGGTTGCTCACAATCTTCTTCCAGTTATTTAGTCGAACACTAATCTACCTGTGGTTGTGGAAGGGCTGGATAGATATAATTAAGGTTATAATTCAACTGAATTTTAAGGCTGGTTATCCTCAATGGGCCTGGCCTAATCAGATGAACCCTTAAAAGGGACAGGGCTCTTTTTGGAAAGACATCTGTGGAGTCCGGGGGATTCAACATAAGGAAGGTTCTCTGTTGCTGGCTTTGAAGGTGGAGGGATCAACACGCCAAAGAACGAGAACAGCCTCTAGGAGCTGAGAGCAGCCTCTGGATGGCAGCCAGAAAGGAAATGGGAACCTTAATCCTACAACTGCAAGGAACTGAATCCTGTCATAATCACATGAACTTGGATGAGAACCCTGAGCTCCACATTAAAATGCAGGCTGGCCAACACCTTGATTTCATACTTGTGAAACCCTGAGCTGAGAAGCCAGTCAGGCTGTGTCAGACTTTTGACTTATAGAACTGTGAACTGATAAATAGGTACTGTTTGAAGTTGCTAAGTTTGTGGTAATTTGTTATGCAGCAATAAAAAAGTAAGACACTTTCCTTACAGAAGTGTGGTATAGGGCAAGATAATAGGCTTCAGAGTCAGATGATCCTGAGTTCAAATCCCAGCTCTGGCAATTACTAGCTTTGTAAGTTTGAACTCCTTGCTCTCTCAGCTTTTCTGAGATTCAGTTTCCTCATTTGTAAAATGGGGGTACCACCACCTAGTTCTTAGGACACTTATGAGAACTGAATGAGAGAGAATGCCTGGCCCATAATGAGCCCTCCAAAATGACTCCTTTACTCTCCGTTCATTTCTAAAGAGTTGGGAGTGAATGGTCTGCGGGCGACCTAACTCAGGCATGGGGAAGAAGGAACACAGCAGGATTAAGAGAACCAGATACAGCAGAGAAGGGAAGAGTAACACATTATAAAATGAA